CCCCCCCCCCCATAAGTTCTATGCTCCCTGGTCAGTAGAGAAAAGAGACCAGAAACACAGAAAAAAAAAATGCAGTTTATGTGCAGGGTTCAGTAATGGAGAAGTAACAGGGTCTTCAATCAGCCTCTTCTAGGGGGGCACGAGGAAGCTGAGAAGGGCTGGCTTCAAAGCAGAGCGGGTTTCAGGGGGAGGGATTGGCCCCTGGGCCCAGGTAGGAGGCTCGGCTCTCAGGGGCGCTGTAAATCGTTAAAGCTCCAGGAAGGCCGAGAGCTGGGCTTCCCAAAGCCGCTTGGACATCCAGCAGGAGTGGTGCCCCAAGTGTGGAGTCTTTCCCTAGGAGAATTGGACTGTGCTCAGCAGGGAGAAACAGCTCTTCCTTCTATCTTTGAGGAAGGAGAGCCTTGCCTGCCCTACCCTCTGGTCAGTTAGGATGAAACATCCATTCTTAACCTCCCTGCTTTCACCCAACAGCAAGAGGGTGGGTGGCTCTCAGAGGGCTGCCAGAACTCTGGGGATTTCCCTCCAAAACACAAACTGCCCAGCCTACCCAATCCTGGTAGCTCAGACCAGTTAGGACCTCCCCCCTCGTCCTGAGTCACCACAACTGTTACCTGGCCCTGGAGAATTTAACCCCTTGACTGCCAGCTCATTCTCACTCCTCTCTGGAACCAATGGCTGCATCTGCATAGGAAAACCCCAGGAAGCAGCTGGCCAACCAAGAGAACTGAGAAGGAGAGCTCTCTCGGGCGCTGGCTAAGGGCTTGGCTCAGCAACCCTAACCCCTGCCCTCCCCACCTTCACCTTACCAGGGACAGCTCCATGTCCAAGTCCATCAGGGTCCATTCTCGCCCTTGGTGGCTGGGGCCTAGCACCTGGGGGAAGCTCTGGGTCAGTGGTGCCTTCCCGACTACACAAACCCCACCAAGCCCCATGCCCCTGCCCTGCTGAAGGTGTACTCACATCCAGGGGCCCCGCAGGCTCCACACTTTCAGGGGGGGCCCGAAGCAGCATGGGAGGCAGAAGATTCTCTGGGCTCCGCATGCCCCTGTCCAGGCCCAGAGTTCCCCTGTGCACAGAGAACTGCTGTCGGCCTGCAGTGTTCACCCCCATTAGATTCCCAAGGATTCTGGATACATCAGGATCAAAATCTGACATCTACAAAATGGTAGGAGAGGACTCCCCACCTAGAGTATACTTAAAGAATGCCTCTGCCTCCTACCTTTGACCTGAGGTTTGGGTTATGGAGGTAGGGTCTTGGGATATATACCCTCTCTTTGCAGTTGTCAACATCAATGGTTCTTAAACTATTGTGTACTTTACAATGTTTCCATTCACCCCAATGAATTCCTTCACAATAAGTGTTCCTGGGTTCCTGAACCCTACCATAGATATGCTGATTGACCTGATGGGAATTTCTACTTTTCAGGGAACTGTGATGCAGGTACTCTTAGAGCAACTCTGGGAAATTAGTTCAGATCATAGTGCCGGACCTCCCCCTCAGCCACCAAGGAGCAGACAGGGCTGGGAAGTTAGTTAGTGGTGGTCTGTCTGGAAAAGTAGCCCACAGGGCTCACAGTCAAGAATGGACTCTTTTGCTCACCTGTCAGGTACCTCCCTGGGACCTCTTGGTTCAGGCTGTTGGGCATTCCTGGGCCCGTCAGGGCTGAAGCTCCCTTTCCCTTCCAGGATGGCCTGCACCACAGCCACAGGCAGCGGTGGGGGTGCTGTCACGCAGAAGTCACACTCGTTTGGGGCCAGGGCCAGCCCGGCCTCGCCTTCCCCCCCTGGACTGGCCGGCTCTTCTTTGAGCAGTGCCAGGCCCTTCTCCCTGCACCAGAGAAAAGCTTCAACCAGACCCTTGCACTGACTTCCCTCCATTCCCCCATAGCCATCTGGGCTGCCGGGTCATCCCCCCCAGGCTCCCCGGTGGGCAGCCCTGTCTGTCTTACCTCCTGCCACCACTGGAAGGAGAAAACCTGGTCCCATCAGGGGATGGAGAGTCTTCATGGATGTCAGAAATGATAGGGCCCCTGGCCCTGTGAGAGCTGGTGAGGCCCAAGGTGGTCTCTGGGAGGGGCTGTAAGAAGACAACTAGGCCCAGTCCTTCAAGTCACAGGAAGAGTCAGAACCCAACCAGTACCCACATGGACCAGGTCTACGGAGTAAGGTTTGAGGGGGTAGGCTCAGTCCATGTTGGGGAACCTGGGTCTTGGGCCATGGGGAGGAGAAGCTGGACTCCACCTTCTCTTCCTTTCTGGGAATGGAGGAAAAGAATAGGCTCTCCATAATCCCAGCTATGCCCTAGGGAAGGGAGGAGGAGCAAAAACCTACCGACTGGATAAAGTAGGGATCCTGAAGGAGGGCACCAGGTAGGGGGCAGGCACTGAATTTGGCTGCTGTTGGGCATGAGCTCCCCTCATCCAGCATCAGGGACCTGTGCAGGGGGGCGGGGCAGGTTCATCCCCCATGCCTCTCAGCCTGCACCTCCCTCCCTCAGGCCCCAGCAGCCAAGTCAGCAGAGCTGAGGCCTGTTGCCAGGGCATCAGTCACATGCTGGAGGCCGAAGGGGCTCCACCCAGAGATGGGGGCCCTTTGGGG